TGAAATGTGGATTGCTTTAGAAAAAGAGTTTCTTACTGAATGTAGATCTGAAATTTTACATGTTAAGAACTTACTACAAAGTACAAGGAAAGATAATTTAAGTATTCATGATTACTTCATGAGAATGAAAGGGTTTGCTGAAGTTTTGTCATCCAATGGTATAATAGTCACTGATGAAGAATTGTTGAACTACATTCTTGATGGCCTAAGTTCTGAATATGATGCTGCAGTAGTAAATATCATCACTAGACTTGAGTCTAGACTAGATCCATTCTCTGTCCAGGAAGCACAAATAATTCTACAAAAGTATGAGTTGAGGTTAGAAAAAGCTAATCTAGTAATGAACTCAATTGTTAACACTGAATTCCAAGGTGGGTCTGTTAATCTTGCCAATCTTACAACTAGTGAGAGTCACAAGAAATATCATAGTGAAAATCACCCCTTCAATGGTGAACAATCTCGGTTTACACCTATGCCACCTCTTGGTTTTGCATCCCACAGTTCAAATACTCCTCAAGTTGCTCCTGGATCTAACCATTTTACTCTTGGATCTAACCACCTTGTTAACTCAGTTCCATAGCACTAGTTTTATTCACCACAGTTTGGTGGCAGAGGAAGAGGGCGTGGATCTGGTAGAGGCAGGTTTATATGCCAAGTATGTGGCAAAAATGGACATTTGGCTCTCAATTGTTATCACATGTTTGACACAAATTATACAGGAGGCATCAACTCACTGATCAGACAGAATTTTATTCCTAATTACCCACTGATTCACATTCCCCTACTACATTACCAAATACACCTTTAATAGAATCTTCTCCACAGTCTGCACATACACCAGTTATTGAACCTACTGAATATTATGTCCAGCCTCTCACAAACTCTCCCATTAAATTAACAGACCACTCTCCTAGTTCTCTTGAATCCATTCATCTTATTGTAGATCTTCCCTTTCCCAAAAACCAGTCCACTCACGCCACCACTGATACCATAGTCCATAATTCCCATTCATTAAATATTCACCCCATGGTTACTCGGTCTAAAGCCAAACTTCCTATATCCATTAGTCTCCTCTAGCTCTCATCTAGATACAAGTGAACCAAAGAGTGTAGCTGAAGCTTTATCTCATCCATCCTAGAAAACTGCCATGGAAAGTGAGTTCAAAGCTTTAATATCCAACCATACTTGGGAACTTGTTCCAGCTTAACCACACATGAACATAGTTGGATGTAAATGGGTTTTTTGGGTGAAACATAATTCTGATGGATCTATTCAACGATTCAAAGCTAGACTTGTTGCCAAAGGGTTTCAACAAAACCCCAGGATTAATTATCTTGAAACTTTCAGCCCCGTTATCAAGTCTTCCACCATTCGACTTGTTCTAAGCTTGGCTATTACATATGGCTGGGATATCCAGCAAGTTGATGTAAATAACGCTTTCCTCAATGGAGAGCTTAGTGAGACAGTTTTCATGACTCAGCCACAAGGTTTCATTGATGATAAAAAGCCTCTCCATGTGTGTAAATTGGTAAAGGCACTCTATGGACTCAAGCAGGCCCCTCGGGCATGGTTTGAAAAGCTCAAAAATGCCTTCTTGCAGTGGGGATTTATCTGTTCAGTGGCTGATCCTAGTCTGTTTGTTTATAGAAACAACAATCAGGTTATGTATGTGGTTGTCTATGTTGATGACATCTTGTTGATAGGAAGTGGTGATAAACTAGTTCAAGACATTGTGCATAAATTGAATCTTGAATTTGCCTTAAAAACCTTGGGCTCTCTTAAGTATATTTTAGGGTTTGAGGTTCAAAGAACAGCTTCAGGAATACACATGAGTCAAGATAAATATGCACAGGATTTGCTCCTTAAAACTGGAATGTCAGACTCCAAACCATGCTCCACTCTAATGGCTTTAGGCAACAAATTAACATTTGAGGATAGTGAGCCGTTGACAACCCATCTCTCTACTGGAGTATCATTGGTGCACTACAATATCTCACACTATCCCAGCCTGAGATTGCATTTTCTGTCAACAGATTAAGTCAATTCCTAAAAGCTCCCACTCAGCTTCATTGGCAAGCATGTAAAAGACTTCTTCGATACCTTAAAGGCACTTCAAACTTTGGTGTCAAGTTCACCAAAATACAAAGATTTCATCTTGAATGCTTCACTGACGCTGACTGGGTAGGAAGTATTCAGGACAGACTCTCAACCAGCGGCTACTGCTTATTCCTTGGATCTAACTTGCTGCAATGGAGCTCCAGAAAACAAAAAGTAGTGGCACTATCTTCTACTGAGGCTGAGTATAGAGCTCTTCCCCAAGGTGCCACAGAAATAGCCTGGTTTCATAGTTTATTCACTGAAATGGGTCTGCATCTTCCTGAAATTCTAGTTATATGGTGTGATAATCAAAGTGCTGGCTCACTTGCATCTAATCCAGTTTTTCATGCTCAGACAAAGCATATTGAGTTAGATATGCACTACATCAGAGAACAAATTGCAGCCAAAAAGTTAAAATTTTGTTATGTTCCCACAGAGCACCAAACTGTAAACATTTTCACCAAATCTCTGTCCACTACAAGATTTGAAGCTCTCAGATATAAACTTACGGTTGTTTCCTCTCCTCTACAAGAAGCCTCAGATTCTAAAGTCATCTCCCCTGATCAAGAAATCTGAGTTATTAACTCTCTCTGTTTCAGATTAACTCTGTAAGATAATACTGGTGCTTCATCAGCTCAGTTTATTAAAAGAGCTGCTGGATCAGTTGTGTCAGATCAGTTTAATGAGAGTGCTGCTGGTACCATGATTCAGAATTAGAAGTTAATATGCATGGTTCCTATTAATGTGTTTGCTGCTGATTATGGTGATCAGTAAGTTTGGTTCCTATCATGTAGAGAATTAAAAAGGTTAATGTGTTTGCTGTGCTGATTGTGGTGATCAATAAATTTGGTTCCTATGTGCTGCTTGTGGTGATCAATAAATTTGGTTTCTATTAATGTGTTTTGCTGCAGATTATGGTGATCAGTAAGTTTGGTTCCTGTCGTATGGAAAATTAAAAGGCTGATGTGTTTGCTATGCTGATTGTGGTGATCAGTAAATTTGGTTCCTGTCGTGTGGAGAATCCAATGTTAATCGTGTGGAGAATTAGAAGTTAATGAGTTTGCTTGATTTGATAGTATTAGAACGGTTGCTGTTACATGATGGATCAGCTGATAAATCAGCTCAAGTGAAAATAATGAGAAATACTGCATTTCAGTGACAATATGCAGAAAGCAAGAGTTACATCAAGTTGGCTTGGTTTACAGAAGGATGTCAGTAAAGCACTGAGTGATAGCTAAGATAGTTTAGTTTAAGGGAGGATGTTAGTAAACTGATTAATGAGGTTGTTAAAGCTGTTTGTTGTAAATCAGACCCAAAACATAAAGAATCATGCAGTAATCCAGATTGTGCATTCAAGCATAACAAGCATAATAAGAGAAAAACAAAATACGGTAAAGAAAGATAAGAAGAGAGACACCAAATTTATAGTGGTTCGGTAATCTGAAAGATTACCTACATCCACTCTTCAAAGGCAACCAGAAAAGAACTTTACTATGAGTTTGAGAAACCTTACAGAAGAATCGGCTCACCCCTTTTACACCAAGGCATCAACTCGATACAAACCCTCTGATTACACACCCGTATACCCAGATGCTCTCACCACTCATACATCCCAAAGAGGCAGAAAATCGTACAAATTTATACAAAAGAAAAAGCTATAACAGAAAGGACAGCTCACACCTACCATCACCGTTGATTCCATGGACGGATCTTGGATTTCCAGCACAGCACCTCTAACCGTTTCTCTCTCTGTTAACCAAGAGAGAAAAAGGAGAAATGAGCTGCGCACAAAACTTAATTCGATTTAGGTTTCTGGAACAAAGGGAAAAGACAGAACTGCCCCTCTTGTCTTAACAAATTACTTTGACCAGCCAACTCCAAGTTTGACTTCTACGTGTCATCAGAATGCCACATCACTACACTGTTAATTCAGTTTAATAAGTTGTTAAAAGTTGTTAAGTCAGTTTTACCGTTGTAACAACTTTGTATTCTGGTAGCTTTCTGTTTTGCTCTGGTTTACTATAAATACTTTTGCTACTGTCCATTTCATTAATAAGCAGAATATACAGAAGAAGTTCAGATCTATTTTTTTCTTTGTTCTCCCCTGTTTCTTCGTACCCCTCACATATAGAAATATATTTTATCTGTACGTGCATTCATTATTTTTTTTTTAAATGTATTTGTAAACCTTAATACAACGAATTCACATGCAACATAACTAAACTTTTGATTCTCTCGGTTACGTAGATACATGTAAACAAGAGCATGCATGCAATTACTAAGTGGATTGAAATATATATATATAGGGATAAATTGAAATTTATTTACATGCATAGCCGTACGGTGGCTGGCAACATTAATTTATCTTTTTTAGTTATTGCAACTTTAATTTTGATATAAGACTGTTACACTTTTAATGTATAATTATGATAATTATATATATATATATATATATATTTAATTTTAATGTGTTTGCAGAAAATTGATCCTACAACTCAAGAAGAATATGAGCAACTAAAAGAATATGTAAAGAGGATGATAATGAATACTACAGATGCACCAGTACAGAAATTGAACTTGATTGATACATTACAAAAATTATGTGTGGCTTTTAACTTTGAAGAAGGACAGAAGATGCTTTGCAAAAAAAATTTAATGATTGTGACATTGATCATTATAATGATCTCCACACTGTTTCAGTGTATTTTCGACTTCTTCGACAACAAGGAATTAAGGTTTCCTGTAGTAAGTCAACCATGTCAAATAATATTCATAATACTCACTCATGAAATTAATGAAATATAAGCATATCTAATTGAAGGCCGTTGTTGTGAGCAGCTGTATTTGAAAAGTTTAAGGATGATGATAGGAAATTCAAGTCATCCTTGATTAATGATCAAGGAATGCTAAATTTGCATGAGGCAGCACACTTCGCTATTCACGGCGAAGATATTCTGGATGAAGCCCTCGCTTTTACAGCCACCCAGCTTAAGTCAATGGCATCTCGTGTAAGCAGTCACCTTGCAGAAGAAATAAATCATACTTTGAAATTTCCTATCCGTAAGACCGTACCAAGGTATGAGACAAGATTTTTCTTGTCTACCTATGCAAGAGATAATTCTCGCAATAAAACTTTGCTTAAATTTGCGAAGTTGGACTGTAACATACTAAAAGTGAGGCACCAGAAGCAGAAGCAACTCAGTGACATCTTAAAGTAAGTTCATATTTTTAATTACATCACAAAATTGATTTACAACTTTATTTTATTTTATTAATATATTTTCTCAAGGTCGTTCACAAACCAAACCCACCGCGCGGCGGCACCCCCCCCCCCCCCTTCCAAAAAATAAAAAATAAAAAACTAAACTAAAATGAAAAGTTTTAGTGAGGTTATCAACAATCATAATCATATATATATGGTGAAAAACGAGTTATGTATTTTTCCCTGTTCATTAATTTTTATATTAATTGCCTATACTAACTTGTAAAAAGGAAGCCTTTTTTTTTTTTTTTTTTTTAGTTTTATTAATTATGGCAATCGATATTGGTTATGATATAAATGAAGCTGTATAATTTCAGGTGGCGGAAAAATCTAGAATTGATTACAAAGCTGCCATATATTAGAGACCGAATGGTGGAAGAATATTTTTGGATCTTGGGAATTATCTTTGAGCCACAGTACGCTGATGGCATAAAGAAAATGACGAAAGTTTTTTGTCTTCAAATTGTCTTGGATGATACGTACGATTCCTATGGTACCCTTGAAGAACTTAACTTTTAACAGAAGCAATCAGAAGGTTAATTAAAGACATATTGCATACAGCTTAAAGTGAACCGTCTGAATTTCATAATAGATTTAGAAATTTTATATTTATAATCATTTTAATTTTCAAATTCTGGCTTCAATTTTCATAAGGAATGTGAATGGTTAATTGATTTTCAGATGGGACATTGGCGCCATAGATATGCTTCCAGATTACATTAAATTTATTTATAAGTCACTCTTAGATTTTTTCGCTGAAATGGAGGAAGATATGAGTAAGGTAGGAAGAGCATACAGCGTAGATTGTCCAAAAAAGATGGTAGGTGATATATATTAAGCTTTGCCCTTCGTGTGGTTTTACGCATGACATGAATAAATTTTCTCAGATTTGAACTTTGAAATGTGTACAGTAACAGCTATAATAAACAACAAAAATTGTCTTGCTGTAAGAAAAATTATCTACCTCTATTCATTGAAAGGACATGATTAGAATGTCACTTTATATTCAAATTTTGTTTTTACTTTCTTGGGTAAGGTTATTAATATCGAGTTTAATTATATTGTCCTTAGCTGCAAAGAGTGGTCAAAGCATATTTTGCTGAAGCCATATGGTTCAATAAAGGGTATTTTCAAAGTACATTTGATGAATATATGACAGTTGCACTGGAAACTGGTAGCTGCCGAATTAATTGTTTACCAAATTAAGTTATATATTTTGGATAATATTTCACATTAATTATCTAACAGTGTTCATATATTATATATGAATTAGTTTGAGCAAAAGAGAGGACATGTTCCCTCAGCTGTTGAATGCTACATGCATGGTGTTTCTGAAGATGTGGCTGTTGAGTTTCTTCTTAAACAAGTTGCGGACGCTTGGAAAGATGTGAATGAGCCATGCTCAAACCAACTGCTGTGCCACTGCCTCTACTTGAAGGGATTCTCAATTTTTGTCGCACAATGGAATTTATGTACAAGGATGATCGTGATATTGATGCCTTCAGTGATGCCACCAAAGTTAAAGATCATGTTGCCTCATTGCTCAGGGACCCAATACTTTGAAGTCTCTACTTCTATTACTGTTAATGTGAATAAAGCTGGTAAACTTTAGTCCGGAATAAAAATAAACTCTTCCCATCCCTTTTCGAATGGAGTAAGAGCATCTTAAGTTGTGCTGTATTAGATATTATTGAATATTATAATATGATATTATACGATATATTTTATTTCAAAAATATGTCTATAAATAAATGGATTTGGACAATATTATTTTTATGGGTATGTATATGTTTCCACATGAATATGATAAGAATTCAGAAGTATAATATGAAATCGAACTATATACAGTATGTGTGTGATTTGAATTTAAAAGTTAAAATGTAAAATAAAACAAATTGTATATATGTGGATACTCAGTTTATCTATTTTTTCATAATTTTTTTTATCCAAAAACACATAACAGTTCCATCATCTAACTGCTAATATTATTTATTTATTTATTATTATTATTTTTTTTTTTTTTTTACCGTCAAAACATATTGTTTTTAATTTTTATAGTATTTTAATTACAAGTAAAAATGTTGTTTCGTGTATACAAACTTTACATGGATGACGGTTTTTTCTCTTCTTTTGGACACACCATTCCATACACTTATCTGAATTAAAGAAAAGAATTTGATAAATTATACTCCTATAAAAATCAAAATCAAAGAAACATAGTTGAACTAAAAAATATGTTCACAAATCTATACTCTAATAAAAATCAAAAGCCAAGAAGTATAGTGACCTTAAATCCATACAAAACAAAAAGTTCTATTTATTTTTGGATTGGTCTGAAAAAGTTGGCCTGAAATTGGAGCGTGTACAAACACTATTACACAAAACAGAGTTACAATTGCATTAGAACCAGAGAGTTTTTTTGTTTTATTTTTTTATTTTTTTTTTAATCTTTTCTGATATATATGCTATAATAATGATAAATGAATTTTACTTAAAAATAAATTAAACTAATGTTTAAGGAGAAATTATTTAGAAAATATTAATACTACATCATGAAGTTTAGTTTTTTTTTTTTTTTTTTTTTTTTTAAATCTTTAATAGAAACTTCTATTGAATGTTGCATGATTACCATACAGTAGTATCTAATCCAATTCCTTCTAATTTTCACGATCATAACAATATTTAATCAGGAATTCATGAAAAAAAATTAATTAATTTTCGATCATAGGAGTTTTAGAAATGCATGTAAGGAAATTAATTAATTTAGAAGGAAATTTTGGACTTGGGAGTTGAGAAGACGTTTTACTTGTTCAAACTTTTGATTGAATAATATTTTGATAATTCAAAGTTACAATTGACATCTATAATGTTGACGTCTTGGCCATGGCCAGGTGCAATATTTCATTATTGCAGTCACCGGTCATGACATAGTGTTTATATTATTTTTCTCGTTATATTAATTTGGGATGTCTTGTCATGGATCCTATATTGAAAGTACATTGGAGAGATTTTGGGTTTATCAGAAGAGAGTCTCTCCACCTAATGGGTTAACCTTTTAGGTGTGAAACTTCTAACTCATGTTAATGGTATTAGAGCAGACCCGATCCATTTTTAGGTATCTTGTCAAGTGTCCACACAAAGAGACGTCCTTGTGTGATAGTGGGTTCACTAGAGAGTGAGATAACGAGTAGACAAGGAGAATGTGCGGTGTCCTTACAGGTAAGCAAATCTGCAAATGTCCTCTACATTTGGGAAAACTCACAAGTACAAGTGAAGGAAATGATTCAAAATACGTCCACAATTTCCCCAAAAGCGAGACACTTAGGAATGTTACCATCCCCACCTTAGAGGTAGATGGTGAAAAAAACGCTTAGAAAAAATTTCACGATTTCCCCACAATTGAGATTTCTTACGGGCCAAATATCGGAATGCCAAAAGGAATAGGGTGCCTTGTCGGTTTCCAAACAATCTAGGCACAAATTCTCTAGAGACATAACGACAATATCTTCCCACCTGAGCAGATGATTAATGATGAAGAAAATGCTTCGAAAGAAATCCAAGATTTCCGCACAATTGAGGTTTCTTACAGATAAAAAATTACAAAATTCAAAAGGAATAGGATGCTATGCCGATTTATGAAATATTTGGGCACAATTTCTAGGGTGGCTCAAACATGTTGTCTTTCCCACCTCAACGGTAGATAAATAGTGAAGAAAACGCTTTGAAAAAAAAGTCCACGATTTCTCCACAATCGAGAATTCTCACATGCACAAATTTAGAAATATCGGAGGGAACAAGATGCTATGTCAGTTTTCAAAAAATGTGGGCACAAATTCCCAAGATGTTGAGACGCATTATCTTCCCCACCTTACTGTAGGATAAATGGTAAAGAAAATGCTTAGAAAAATGTCTATGATTTCTCCGCAATCGAGATTTCTCATAGACAAAAATCGAAAAAACCAAAGGGAATAGAGCTATATCAGTTTTCAGAAAATCTTGGCACAAATTCTAAAGACATTCAAATGCATTATCTTCTCCACCTTAGCGAAGGATCTATGGTGAAGAAAATGCTGAAAAAAAAATCCACAATTGCCCCACAATCAAGATCCATTGTAGAACGAAAATCGGAAAATTAAAGAGAATAGGGTGCTACAAATCTGAGCACACATTCTAAGGATGCTCAGACACGTTATCTTCCCCTGCTAAGTGAAGGATAGATGGTGAAGAAAACACTTTGAAAAAAGTCCACAATTTCCCCACAATCGGGATTTGTTTCAAGCTAAAAATCGAAAAAACCAAAGGGAATACAATGCTCTCACAATTTCTAGAGAATTTAGGCATAGATTCTTGAGACGCTTAGATACGTTATCTTCCCCACCTCAACGGAGGATAGATGGTGAAGACAACACTTCGAAAAAAGTCCACAATTTCCCTAATATCGAGATTTTTTACTGACCAAAAAATCTAAAATACCAAAGAGAATTGGGTGCTATGTCGGTTTCCGATAAATTTAGGCATAGATTCTGAAGACATTTTGACATGTTATCTTCCCAACCTCAGTGAAGGATAGATGATGAAGAAAACGCTTCAAAAAAAAAAAAAAAAGTCCATAATTTTCTCAATATCGAGATTTCTTATGAGCTGAAAAATTGAAAAAACCTAAAGGGAATCGGGTGCTATGTCAGTTTCTGGTAAATCAAGTCTTGCAATTTAATTCAATAAAAGTTTTATTTTATTTAATAGTTTGAAAGTTTCTTTTGATTTTATGGTTGGTTCTATGACGTATTTTTATGGCCAACAGCTATGTTTTTGACAGTAAATATGAGGTGAATCCTATAATGTTTAGACCAAGATTTTACTCTTAACATTTTAGAAAATTATTTTTCACAAATATACTAGAAAGATTTTGTTTTATGGTTGTTATAGGGGTTCATATATAAGAGTGCACCCTTTGTAGAACCAATAAGTTATTGTATCTTGAAGGTTAGACCGCCATTATTTTTTAGTATATTTTGCACCAGGACATTGTCCTAAAGGGGTGAAATCTATCCCTGTAAAATAAGACAAGGCATGCTTCTACAATCTACACTGCTCGTTTTTGCTTTTGTTGTGGAGGAAAAACTCATTTTAGCCCATCCTCAAGGCCTGGTCCAAGACTTGATTGTCCAAATTTGTTGCTGCTGTGGATTGTATATCTGCACCCGAATAGGCCTACTGGAATGGGTCCACTTTTGAAATAGATTACCCAGAATGATCCACTATCAAAGTCCCCGAATAAGGTTTTTCAGCTTTTTGAATTATATTCTTACCATAATATTATTATTATAATTCCAATACAGAGCTGGCAGATTGATATTTAATTGAATAAAATTATAAAATGGTAAATAATGATTTTTTTTTCAAGTTTAATAAGAAAATTAATTTTTAAAATTTTAATGACATGTTTATTAAGAAAATTGGATGCAGAAAGAAAAGGCTGGTGAGGTGACCCCATTTAACAAAAAACAAAATAAATTATTATTTTCCTCCTATTGAATTTTGTCGAGTAATTTCAAACCTCTAAATTAAAAACTTAACTATTCTTTAGAAATATGTTAGTTGACACAATTATCTTGTGCTAAAGATTAAAAAATACTTGAGAATTCAGTGAAATTGACACTTAGAGATTTTGTATTGACAAATATTGCTTAAGTGGATTTAATAAGTTATTTTTATGTTCACGAGTAGGTACTCTGTTTTAATTTATTTAAAGTTTTAAAATATTAAAAATGTTTTCTTATTATTTCAGAAATTTTTTCTTTATTCTTCTTTTTTATTTAAATTCTTATTGATAATTTGATGCTAGAAAAATATTTAATATTTATTTAACTAAACAATCCATAACTTTATCATAAAAAATTATTTTGGCAAGTTCTATTTTATAAACTCTACGGACTACCATGTATGTATGTGTATGCTATTAAAATTTTATAAATGATATTCTTACTTAGCAAATATCTGGAACTATGAGTTAATGAGTAAGAGATTTTGTTGAAGCGAATCAAGGAATAATTGATATGCTGGAGTAAATCAAGGATTAATTGATATTATGTTTAATATCAATATGTTGGTTATCTTTTCTTGTATGATTATGACATTATAACAAATATTGTATTTCCTTTTTATTCTTTTACATTTTAGTATAAATTAACAATGAACACTAGACCTGGGCAATGACCAGTCTCAATCAGGTTCAGGTCTGGGTCTGATCTAGGGACCGATCTCTCTTCCATGGCCTGGTCCAGGTTTGGGACCAGACCTCTTAGGACCGATCCTTGTGAGGACTGATCCTAGGGTCAATTTTTTGGGACTGATCCCAAATACCCAAGTCTAATGTACACTTGTGCAAAATACACAATTAAATAGAAAACCATTCTTGTCCTTTCTTTTTCTCCATCAGGCAATTTCTACTTAGTCTTCTCTTGCCTCACTCTGATTGCTTAGTCCTCTCTTGCTTTTTTTGCTTTATTCTGACAGATTTCAGTTTAAGAAAATTTAGAACCAGTTTGTCATTACCAAAATTATCACTTTAAGTTGAAATTATTAATTTCTATAATTGAAAACTTTCTACCT